TAATTTTTACTCTGAATTTGTAAAAAAAAGTCTTATTTGTGGTATTTATTTCCATTGAAGTTCAATCAACTCGTCGTGTTGTCGATTTTCTCCTAAAATATCAAAATTGTGTCAGCTTCACTCATATTTTTATATTCCAGCTTAATTAGTTTTGTTCTGACTGAAGAAAAGTATTTGTCTCGTTAACTCCGAGCAAACAAAATGTTAAATTTTTCGTAGGAATTTTTGTTCCATCCATTCTACGAGTGAAAACATACCTATTAAGTATATATCACTACTGTTAGTGCAAAGGTCGTATGTAAAAGTTTTCAATTTTTATTCTATTATTGACATTATGTAGTCTGTAATTAATATAAGTAATCTACCACTATAAAAAATGACAGAGGGAAATAAAATTATATAATTAAATCATAATGAGATAAGTAGTTTTTATCCCCTCCTGTAAAACACTCAATTTTACATACGTCATACGTCATTTGCACTAACAGTAGCGAGATTCATATTTAGTATCCACTTGATTTTTTTTTTTTTTTAATTACGAACTATCAAATATGCAATCTGCAAATGCGGAACTTTTTTCGCATTTTAGTTTTTGCTATAGGTATGACTGTGTGTTTATATTTTTTTAATTTACTTATCTTTAGGTTATTTTATTTTTTTATTGTGCATAGTTTTTGATGATTATTTTACTTTTGTCAATTTTATATTTTCTGTATATATGGTGTGAATGTGTTCATGTATCACAATAAACTATTGTCCACGTGACAGATTGTTATAATTCTAAATAAAAAAAAAAATGTGTTGGCTGATAAACAAAACTCGTAGATATCAAGCCCGTATATGTTGAGGGATTACCGAATTTCCGAAAACGGCTTCTTCCATAGATTTTATACTCATAAGAAAATTTTTAGATCTTTTAATACATATATTTTTTAGCAAATGAAAACGGTGAGGAATTTAATCTGACCTTACTTGGCAGACGTTTTTTTAAATAGTTAAAAGGAACATACCGATATGCAATTTATAGGGATGTGGGGGGAAAGGGAGTTCTGGTCCATAGACTATTTCATGGCAGATAAGAAAAAGTTCATTTTCCAAAATATAATTCTGAGAAGAGAAAAAGACCACTGTCTTCCCAGTTTTTTTTTTCTTCTCCAATTTACTCAAAATAAATCAGTATCAAAAAAATTATTTTATTTTCATAACCTCGGTTTCAAAGTTAGTTGATCTTCTTTAATGATGTGCTGTTATATTTTCATTTACTTAATCAGATATATGTATTATTATTAATGTATGATTTTTCTCAGTCCTTTGTTCTAATATATACAATTTAATCCTTTGTTTTAATTTTACCAGTCTCAATTATATCAATATACAATAATGAAAATTATAGGAAATAGTGATAACATTAAAAGAATTAATAATAATAAGAAGAATGTAAATTAATTTTAAAACAACAGCAGTTATCACTTAAAACCATTAATACTCCGAAGCCAAGCGTGGCATTAAAGTCACAGAAAAACGCTACCCAACTTTCCATCTCACTTTTTCCTTTAGGGTTGAGGAAGAAATACCGTTACCGTTACCTTCAGGGATCTGTGATAATATATTGTGTACCTACAGTGGATTTCAACATTGCTTATTTCTGATTATTTTGAAGTTGTAAAATCAGACTACAATGAACGTCGATTTCGACTTTATAATATAAGAGAATTAAATCATGGCTAATAGGTGTGTATACATATATAAATAATCAAACAAAACAAAATATTTGGTAATGAGCCGAAAATTCTACCGCCATAACAGGGTGGGCGTAGAAGAAAAATCATTCTCCAGAGTTGAAAAATTCAAATACCTTTTAAAGATATTGAAATCTCGAAAAATCTCAAATTAACGGTGTACAATGCTATGATAAAGCCAGTTTTAATATATGGCTGTGAGACCAGAACACTAACCAGCAGCCTAGGAAATAGTGTTGAAAGATTTAAGAGAAAAACCTCCGCACGACAACCGGAGTGATCAGGGATACGAGTACTACCACATGGAGAAGAAAGGCCAATAAAGAACTGCTCACAGAAACTGGTCTATCAATATCCCATATTATGAAGGCACGGAGGGTAAGATGGGAGGAGCATGTAGCTCGTAGTAATCCATGTGGAAGGCCCTAGGGAGCAATGAATGCCTCAATAGAAGGCAAAAGACCACGCGGAAGGCAAACAAGCAGATGGATAGATAAAATCAACAAAGATGGAATAGAGCTGCGTGCAGATAAATGGAAAAAAATTCCAAAGGCAGGCAGAGATGGAGCAGGCTTGTTACAGGAAAAGCTGTGATTAAATTGTATCCGTATATCGTAAGACACGACGGAAAACGAAATATGCACAGTCCGTTCGGAAAACATACACCTACCATGGTAACATCACGTCTCTCATTTCTAGTCCATTCATCATTTCTTTCATGTTTAACATTGTCCAATATATCAGTGTTGTGCTTTATCGAAATTTTATCTAGATAAAGAATAATAATATAGACAATTTTTTATTCGTGATTGTTATTTGATGATGTTTGGACAGATAATTATCTATTATACGTTATTTAAGATAAAAATTTGGTGCGCGCAACATACAACTTTCATTTACCACTCAACTTTGAAAAGAAATTGTTTTCTGGTAATGTTGGGTACTATACAATTTTTGAGTGGCATTTTTAATCGAGCTAAAGCTTGAAGTTTACAGCTAACAAATCATAAATACCATTAAAATAACAAAAATCCTATTTATTATAACACCGGTTGATTATGGATTGTATGATCCATTTATTATGGATTGTACGATCCGTTGATTATGGATTGTACGACTATTAGTTATTAAACTGTTATTTTCCATTGCAAAGTTTACTAAAAAAAAAAAAATACGAGATTTTCATTGTCGGTCATATACAGGTCAAAAGTTGTCACACTAATTTTAAGTGGATACTGTTAGGATATCACAAAGGTAAAATTCATCAAATTATTCATTAATTTAATTTTTTGAATGGTTGCATGATGATTTTTAGGAATAAACGGACGATAGATATCTTATTATGTAAATATAATAACAGATCTAGAGTTATTAAACTATAGTAAATATATTTCCGGTTATAAACATATCCATGAAATATTTTTATATTTCACTTCTTTCATACAAGTACAATGAAATAGTTTTTTAAACAATGTCATTACCTTGATTCCGTGGATTTTAAATACTTTTTTTAAACTTAAAAAAAAAATTAATTACTTTATACGAATTTCTATATTAGATATTGTTTTTTTCTCCAAAATTTCCGATTTCCAACGATATATTATACGTATACTTTCTGGTATACATGAATACGTATAGAGGAAGACATGTTGAACATTTGGCATCACAGCTCTGGAAAGTGACATCAATGGGTATAAGATCTAAAAGATATTAAAGACCACTTAATTATACAATGATACAGCGAGTTTAATCAAAGTCGTTAGAGCCGTTTTTGAGAAAATTGTAAAAATGAGTTTCACCGTTGATATAAAGTGGCACTTTCGGTTAGCCAATTTTAAGGAAAAGTGTCCGTCACATCTAAGTCATATACAAACCTTAAATATGTTATATCAGTTTCGTACGACTTTTCGTTGTTGAGCTAGACTTTTCGCATACACTTATAAAGACCACTTCGCGATACTTGGTTATTTGGACTTTGGGGACCTCAAAACGTGTATTTTCGTTGAAAACTCAGATTTGAAAATTTTCACGTAGTATTAAATTAATACTATTACTTTTTTTACTTTAACATACGTATATATGTAATCTATAGTAAGGGTAAGTATTGCGATGGTGAAAATTTTGGAATCTGAGTTTTCAACGGAAATACACGTTTTGGGGTACCCTGAGTCCATATAACCAAGTCCCGAAAAATGGTCTGTGAATCTGTATGTTAGCAGTCTAGCTCAAAAACGAAAATTCGTACAAAATATTGCGTATTTAAGATAAGTATATGAATCAGATGTTAAGACTTTTTCCTTAAAATGGGCTAACAGGAAATGCCACTTTATATCAACGCTGAAACACATTTTTACAATTTTCTCAAAATCTGCTCTTTCAATTTTGAATATACTCGGCGTACCATTGTATAATTAAGTGGTCTTTAATATCATTTAGGTCTTATCCCCGTTGATGTCACTTTACAGGGCTTAAATGCCCACTGTTCATATGCCTCTTCCTCTAAAGTACTTTTAATAGGGTTTATTTTAAATAATTAACTATCTGTCATTATTAAGAGTTACGAAAAAATGCTAAATATGACTTTTGAAAGAATTCCATAATTGAAAAAAGGAGAAATAAAAATGCTTATTCAGGTCGAAAATGAATCTCCGGAAGTACTAGTCAGAAGGTATACGTATAATATATCGTTGGAAAGTGGAGCATTTTAGAAAAAAACAATATCTAATATAGAAAGTTGTAGAAGGTAACAGAGAGTGGCAAAAAAAAATATATAAATAATATTGTTTGAAAACTAATAATATTTAACGTAAATCACATTAAATTTACTAATTAATATAAACTTTTAAAATATTTTCAAGTTTAAAAAAATTATTTAAAATTCACCTAATCAAGGCAATGGCATTGCCAAAAAAACTATTACATTAGCTTTAGCTGAGTTAAAAATTCAATTCAAAAATTTTATAATAGCCCAACATGGCCAGAAAATAATTTCTATTCAAAGTTGAGCGATAAGTGAAAGTTGAGTGTTTCAAATAAAAAAACCGGAAAAAAAACATGTGAAAAACGAATCTAAAGCTCGGAGACATCAGATGATCAAATAATATAAGAATGACTCTTTTATTTATTTTCCTCAAAGTGGTAAGGAAAGTAGTGAAAGTTATATATGTTATTTGATATATAACTGTTTGTAAATAATAAATCATTGTGTATTAATTTACAGCGTTTTTAGACAATGGGTTTTTGGGAAAAAAATGAATAGGATTACATTTTCAAAATACATTTATTCCAACACAAACAATAATAAGATTAACAAGATATGGTTAAAGGGCTATATAGATAAATATTACTATAAACTAGTAGATACTAAGTCAACAGTAGAGATATGTACAGTGTATAGTGTATAGTGCATATAGAGTATAAAGTTTAGGGGAAGGGGGACAGCGGGGAGACCTGCTCTCGGGCGTCCGAGCTCAGGCCTGGCTCAGCCCCCGCCTTCCTCCGACCCCGGTTGTCTATGTACAGCAACCCTTATATCTCATCTATATATATATATGTGTGGTTAGGGGTATATATATTTATCTTAGCACATTTATCTTATATACATATACTATATTTACAATTATATAATACTAATTAATATTTAACAACAATCTCTATACAAACAATAGAAAAGTTTTCTAAAATTTAATTAAAATATATTATGCCAAACAGTTCTTCTTTTACCTTAAAGATCAAGCTGTTGTTGAAATAATTCTTCCTCCTATCATCAGTATTATTCTATCATCCAAAAGTTAAATAATAAAAGTAGTTGGGGATTAATTTATTACTTAAAACGTTTTGCTTGGAGATTTAGCTTTCGAAATATTTAAATATGAATTGATTGTTATAGTTGTAGATTACCTTTCAAAATTCATATTGTATAAATTACATTTTTTTTAAATGGAAAGGTGCAATATGATATATAAAATTCAATGTGTCCTATCTTTTTACTCCCACTAGGGAAACACAGAATTTACCAATATTAAAATCTGTGATGATCATATTGCATATCTGTATATATACATGTATGTATATCGCACCTAATAATTGTATTCTTTTAGACATGGTCAAAACCGTTAATTCTGTTTTTACAGTTAAAAATGGCGGGTACTATCATTTCAAGAAGAAGCATTCTGACGTTTGGGATCTAAAGCTCATTGTCGTTGGGAATCGGTATTTATTCATAATAAATGTTTAAAAATTAATAATGATATTGCTAAGCTGTAACCGTAGCAACAATTAAAAAATAACACAATACTGACGCGGGAGCGGGGTGGCCGAACGGGATAACGTGTGTGCACAGCACAGCTCGTTACTTGGCAACGTGATATCGAAAGTTGTAGACCATAAAATTACGAGTTCGCGCCCCGGTGTCTTGGGGGTCTTTTGAATTCCCCGCCGTCACCCCTTGGACGGGAAAACCCCAGCATAGCCGAAGGCGAGGTAGGGCACAACAAAAAACAAATACTGACTAGCGAACCATTTAAGTGCTTAATCAGAAGTTCTCTTAATTTAAAATATTTTAATATATCACATCTAAATTTTAATTCTTTGGTATTCAGTTCTAATTTGGAAAACAAAACAACCATTTTATTTGTTGTTCTTTTTTTCAATTAAAATGGTCATTATTTTAGAGGGTGTGCATAAATAAATAAAATGTATTAAAGCATTATTACAGATATTACATAGTCAATTTTAACACTGGAATATTTATCTGCTTAATATTGTATCAATGATTGTGTTTTAAATATATGAATTAAATATATTGAGAAAAAAGAAGAACAAATTATTCAGCAGTAAACATTATTTTCATTCAAAGCTGCTAAGTTTCATAATAAAAAGTAGTAAATTTGAATACTAGTTAGCATGAATGCGATAGCATGACGTTGAAATTATTTTTTAGAAAAAACTTAAATATAAACAACAATCTTCTATTAGAGTGTGTAGCGATGCAGTTCGGTTTTATTGCTTCCTTTCGAACGATAGAATTTCTACGTATCAACTTGTTATGAATTCCTTGACTTTTTTAAGGAAAATATGGGGGTAGGAGAAACAAGAAAAAAATGATATAAGGATAGTTCATTTAAATAAGTATTTTATTTTATGTAAAATATATTTAAAATTTTGTAAGAAAATATTAATCGAATTCAAAGCGTAACCTTGTTAACATTGAGCAGTGGTTTTAGTTTATGTAACTAACTTATAAGCGCATTTATTCATAAATAAATGATAAAGGAAAATATGATGGTAAAGTATGTTTACTATTGCATAAAAAGTATAAATCGAATGATAACTGCCATAAAATTATAGTAATATTTAACTAATCTAAGAAAATCATCTTTTTTAAAAGTTTACAATTTTAACTAGTGTTGTTTCCAAATAAAGTATCAAATTTTGGTATTTATTAAAAAAAAAAGAAGAAAATTAACGTGTTCCATGTTTGCCGGCACTTTTCTAAATCCTATTTACAAATTAGGTTGATCTTTTTTTTTTTTAAATTCAAACTTCGAACGCAACCAATTTATAAAAGAAGAACCTGGCTACAACACAGAACATCAAATGTAGACACTATCTAACAATTAACATTTATAATATATACCCACTTGATTCGTATCACAAACATTTCACATGCCTTAAATATATTAAATTCAACAATCAAATTCACTTTTCAGTTCTCTTATGACCTACAATAATTAGACAGAACATTTAAGGAAGAAGCTCTTAATTTTACAAATTCAAAGTTGGCTTAGCCCAATTCTTGATGGAAACTTCACACCCTTGTTTGACTGAAACATATGAAATGAAAAACATATTAATGACATCGAAGCATGCTATAATGCATACATTATATTATGTACAATAGTTTGCATCCATCAGCGTAATGGATCTGAGAGATAAATGCTAGAATTCCTTTAAGGTGGTATTGCGATATATATGTATGCATCGATGGTTAAATTTACAGATGTTACAAATATAAAATTTTATAGTTAAAAAAAAAAATATTTGATATTTCAACGCATCTTGTAAAATATATCATTTATTAATTCTCTTCCGTTCTGCCTATGCAGGTTTATTTTGTACATGTATTTTATGCCCACTTAAAACATTTTCCAACAGTTTTCAACCCTCTATTAATTGTAACTTACTACATTTAACAGTTCAACCGTCTACGCTATCTCCTCTACAAAACTAGCCATCTCCTGGTTTCCTCTCTTGTTTTCCACCCTTTGCAGTATATGCTTCTGTGGTTTACGGTGGACTTTCTCCCGAAAGTTAACGCGAAGCAAACTTAAATGCCTAATGAATTCCTCTATGCGTTTTGTCTTCGGGATCTGAAGAGATACGCATATAACCCTGTATTACGCCGATTTGAAGTGGCTCTATCCATCGTACCGCGGCCAGTACTTCCTTGCTATCTTTCTATACCAGGCCATTAGAAGTCAGCGACCCTGTAATATTCTTCAGAGTCAACAATTCAAATTCTCCATTCAATCTCGTCCCACCGGATCCCGTATTTCCAACCTCTCTCCTCTTCCTCACCGAAATGCTGCGTTTGACAAATCCTTTGTAATTCAAGGCGTTTCTTTTTGGAAATCCACCCCTCCCTATATCCTAAATGCGCAATCAGTTTCCTCATTTAAATATCTCATTTTTAAGCATCTACTCATTTCCCAACCCGACTGATCAAGAAATTTACATAGAAGAGCTTCTTAAGATCCCTCAGAAACTATTTAGTTTTTTTTACCTGTGCCATGTATGGCCACACACGCATTTTATCTGTATTTATAATTTGTTCTGAAGGGACAACAGTCACAGGATAATAAAAAATATTTTCATTTCATTTTATTACATTTATGAAGTTAACCATCGAATTATCATAAATTTGGTTTGACTTGCATCCTGAGGAAATAATTAACTTAAGCCAAAAACAAGTGACGGAAACGTTGTTGGTTCTAATGCTGCTACATGTTGTATAGATTGTGAATCACATATGGATTTTCATAAAAAGAGACTTAGGTTTGATTTGAAATCTTTTTTTCGATCTCTTAGTGGGTTCAAGTGTTTAGTCAGAATATTTTCTGTTTTTATTTATTCAAAAACAAATATCTCATAGTATTTTTCCGTTTGCTCTTGAGTGTAATTTTCTCTCATTATACTTAAAAAACAGAATCTTTTCATGCTTTTTTTGGATGGTCATAATAAAAACAGTAAATAAAAAAATGTTATTATAGGAATCGGGAAATCTTATCCATCCTTAGGAATACCTTAAATATTGCATAACTATATACTTAATGCACCTCCTAGATTGTTAGGGAAATTGACATCTAGAAATATTTAAACATGGTGCAGTAGTCAGGTTCCTTTAATCTATTGACTAGAGAATTCAGATGTTGACATGCTGTAATACACATGACATAGGTCGAAATCTACTTGGCAGGATCCGTAATGTTTACTAAAGGCATCCGACAAGACTAAATAATAGATGTCAGTTAACCTTTTTAGTTTCTGTAGGCAATTTATATTCAACACATAAAAGTTTTTATTCAACACATTTTTTATTTTTACATTTATTTAGGCCATATTTAATATTTTAATTTTGTACTATTCTGTTATGCTAAAGGGACTTTGTCCCAGAATAAAATTATTTTCTATTCTATTCTAAAAGTACATGAGGTAAAATTGATAATTATTAAACTGAAATAAATTGTCTCTTTCAATATTTAGAGCTCAAATCTTTTTAAAAGATTCACGAGATCTCATTGCGTATTTTAAACCATCTAACTTAAAAATCGGTCGAACCGCTCTTTTAATAATTCGTTACATAACATTTTGATTGGCACATATATTATAAAATCATTTTTTCGTGATTTGATTCATTAAATTTGAAAATCGGTCCACTCGTGCATGCGCTTAAAAAAACCGTTACATACCTTGTTAAAGGCGATAATGCTCAGTAAAAAATATGATAAAAATGTCATTTTTAATACTATTAGGTAAATGTTTTTCTTCAAGAGCTAATTAAAACGAACTTCGGGACACATTTCCAATATTTTCTGATGTAGAATAACTCTCCGACAAATTTGTTGATGGTCAAAAGTATATTTTGATGTCCTCTTTTTATCGAACAGCTTTTCACTTGAATACAAATCTTAGAGAAAATGAAGGAATTCAAGTCTAAATTACATAAAATTTTTGAGGACTTCAGAGCGAAGTAGGATAGTGTGTGTGGAGGAAAATTTTTTTTTATAAATTGCAATGGAAAAACTTGGAACTCTACCAAAGCTAACAAGGTTGGCCAGTGCGTCAACGATGAACACCAGCTTCCACATAAGAGTGCCAGGAGATTTGTCAAATAAATTCGATTGTGAACGAGGTTTGTGACAAGATGACATTCTAGTGTGCATTGCCTTTAATATAATTTTATAATATTAAAATAAACGTAGTGAAGGATGGCGGCAGTGCTTTAGGGTGAGGCAACCGCCGAAAGGCGCCCTCCTAAGCCGTTGCCCGTTGGCTTCACCTGCCGACTATGTTAGTAATAAAAGCAAAACGTCTTTAAATAATTAATTTTATCCTATCAATAAAGCAGCTGTATTAGAGAAATGTTGATTGGAATAAAATTCAAATACTGAATAATATAAAACAGCTTAAGAAATAAACTACATTTTATATGGAGGGAGAAGACAATGTCATTTTCCAGGGGCGCCGAATTTCTAAGGACGGCACTTGATGCTGTTATACAAACAAACACAGGCGCATCTACGGGGGGGGGGGGGAGGGCTTTCGGGCTGAAGCCCCTCCCCCCCCAAATGGTAAAATATAACCATGTTTTACAAAAAAAAATCTTAAAAACTATCTGTTAAAGTATTCTTGTTCGTTTAATAACATTTAATAGGACTTCAAAAACCGCGTTTTTTAAAAAATTATTTATCGTTATATGTATATGAAAAAAAAATCTTTCAGGCTGAAGCCCCCCAAAATTAAATTCTGGATCCGCTAGTGCAAACAACAAGCACTTTATATGCAGAAAATACGCAAACACTAGCTTGCATCGATTATATATATATATATATATATATATATCTTACTGAAAAAACCTTGATAACTATGACTTGAGGCCAACGAAGAAAAGACCAAATATATGAAGACTGTCAGCCGTCAAAGTGGTCCAACCATCCAATCGGTTGGTTCGTTAGTGATTGCGGATAATGGCAAGACCAAGATGTGACGCAAAGACTTTTTGTCGCAAACATAAGTTGTTATGGCCTTCTGTAGTAAACGAAAATTCTGAAGTATATTAAAGTCGGTCACTACTACGATCAACAAACTTGTACGCATTCCCCATAGAACCGGATTTCCCACAGATGGGTCCGAAACATAGTAAGTGGCAATGGCCAGTGAGAGAAAAATACTAGTTTTGGAATGAAAGATAGATTGCTTCCAATTAATTAGGCCAAAGATATTCCAATAAAGGAAGACATTCCAGTAAAGGAGAATAATGAATGGAGAATAAGATATAACCACGAAGTAGCCAACTTAAACAAGGGACCGGATGTGGAGAAATATATTCGGATAGCATAACTAAAATAGGCGGGCCATGTTGTAAGGATGGACGAGCCCTGAGAGAATCTGCTCAGCATTCAAACAAGCGGAATATGAAAGGTGGGAAGAGCGAAACTGAGATGGATGACTGGAGTAAGGGCAGATGCCAGACTTCTAGGAATCGAGAACTGGCGGACTGCAGCTCGGGACAGGGAAAACTGGAAGACGACTCTTGAGGTAGCCAAGATTGTCGGATGACGGATTATCGAGTTTGGGTTGATAATGAGGATTAAGAGATTACATTTTATATTTTTAATTTTTTTTCGGTTGGTAATAAATATATTAATAATTCAAAGTTCCTATAAAAATATGGATACTATAAGTCATGTAGCGTATACCGAGCTGACGAGGGCTCAAAGGGCGGTGTAGGTGGTGGCGGGGTTGTTGTGCTGCGGCTTCTGGCCGTTCTGGCAGAGGAGGAGGGTGGGGCTGGGTTCCTGGCTGCTCTCGACGGCCGGCCGCCTGCACCACCGCGGCAGCACCTGCACCAGCTCCCTCCGGAAGTTGGAGTTGAGCCAGCCGTAGACCACCGGGTTGGAGACAGCCGAGGTCATCGCCATCACGTGGCAGGCCGCCAGCGTCACGTAGAGCGAGTCCGCAGAGACCAGGCACAGGTCCGCCAGCAGCGAGAACACGGAGAGCGGCAGCCAGCTCACGGCGAACAGCACCGCCACACCTGTTTAAACAGAATAAACAAATCCTTTAATTATTTACATTATTTCTAAGAGGAGGAGGCGAGGAGGTCGTGGTTTAGTAGTTTATATATATATATATATACCAGATATTACCAAAACAAGTACTCGAAAAACGATGGGAAGTAGATCAGGACGTATATACCTTATTTGTCGACTTCAAATCAGACTATGACTCCCTGGACAGAAACTGTCTTTGGAAGATCATGACTGAAATGAGTGTTCCTGGAAAGTGAGTGATTAGTGTGACAACTTTTTAACTATCCGCAGTAGGTGATGGGAATATCGGAACTCCATTTTAATAAACTTTATAATAGAAAAATAAGAACTCAATAACTAATAGTATTACAATCCATAGTAATTGATTGGTTAAATCTATGGATGTACTTTCAAACCTCACTAGGCATACATAGCTCAGCAACTGCAGTTATATGGTTCACAAAAGTGAAGGCCACCTTTTTTCTCGATTTTGTGATAAAATTATCTAACGATCCAATTAGAAGGCAAATCGATATTTACGAGTCTATAGTACTTAATTAAATAGACAAAATTTGCTCCTCTCCAGATTAAAAACGGCCCAACTACAACAGTTTTCGTAAATAAAATAGTTATAGGTTACGATGAGATGAAACTATTTACGAAGTTTCAGGCGGATGTTAATAATTCGACAAAAAGGGGTCTGTACCACGGACTATAAGGCAAAGTAGATGAAATTGCAAACTTTAAAAACTGTAAATGTCGTATCTTAAACTTGTGAGAATGGAAATTATTCCTATATATAGTTAGAAGAGAGGAAAAAAATAGTTTCCGCTTTTTGGTTTTGGACATTTCCGCTATCTTGGACCTTCCTCGATTGCTTGGGACATCTTAAGCAATGAATAGAGCATCATTTAGTGCATTTTCCTTACAGTATTCAATAGAAAAATTTAGAAGAGGACTCATCTGGAATATCCCATTTCATAAAAATCCAGTTCAATAGCGCGGAACATTAGACTAAGTGTCTGAATTTCCATTTAACTAATTTAAAATAGACGTTGGTTTCATTACAATGTGTAAACAGAGAGCGCTAAAAGTCTTTTAAATTTCCCTTCTTTTTTAGCTATTTAAAAGAAGATTGATTTTAAATTTGAAAATCTTAGACTTGTGCCAATGGAAATTATTCTTATATTGATATAGAAGAGGGGGAGAAAAAGGTTACCACTTTCCGGATTTGGTAACCTTAATTTCAATGATAATTCAAAATGGGCTTTGGTTTCATTACAATCTGTAGCCAGAGAGCGCTGAAAGTCTAAAAATAAACATTCGAAGAATGATAAGTTTTCACTAATAGTTTCCCATATTAAACTTTTAAGGTGACTAAGTATTGTTAAACATGAGTATCATGGCTTGTAATTTCATTGATATATTAATGTTTTATATCTTTTATATATGTTTTAATACCTTTTATAATATTGATGATAATATTTATTGTTAATATTTTTATATAATATATAAAAATAAGATAATAATAATAATAAGGCTTAGCGAACCCGAAGGTTCGATGCCGACACCACCAATCGCTTGTTACACACCTCCCTCCACCGTTCGCCGTCCAAACCCAGTCCCTTCAGATCGGCTTTAATGCAATCTTCTCACCTTCGCTTCGGTCTACCCCTCGGACGCTTACCATTCGGCACAGCAAATATTAACCTTTTAGGAATTCTCTCGTTACTAAGCCCAACCACTTTACAAGCCCATTTGATTCGCCGCGATGAAATTACCTCAATTATATTACCCGGATACATCTCACGCAATTCGGCGTTGTGTAACCGTCTGAACTCTCCGATTAACTCATCCTTCTTCGGTCCGAATATTCTACGCAATACTTTATTTTCAAAAACCTTAAGACGCTGCTCATCCCTTAATGTAAGCGGCCAAGTTTCGCATCCATAAAGAACTGTAGGCAAGATAATTGTTTTATAGATTCTAATTTTTAAGTTTCGGGACAAGAGGCGCGAACTAAGTAGTTTTGTCACAGAAAAATAACAAGCATTCCCCGCCTTCAGTCTAACCTTAATCTCTTCTTCAATTTCGTTTTTTCTAGTTATCGTAGAACCTAGATACCTAAATTTATCTACCTGTTCAAACATATTACCATCTATATCGATATCACCAGTAGTATCGCCATTTTTGCAGCTAACCATATATTTTGTTTTATCCACGTTTATTTCGAGTCCTAGTTCCTTACCGGCTTTCATTAACGTTGTCGTATTTAGTTTTATAGTTTCAACGTCTTCGCTTAACAGTACCAGATCATCAGCATAGCCCAGCACGGATGTTGTCCCGCCCAGATCCAACCCTTTCTCGGTTCGCATTACCTTCCTAATGGCATGTTCTAATGCCAAATTGAACAGGACAGGCGAAAGAGAATCCCCCTGTTTTAAGCCCGAATGAACCTCAAATTTTTCGGACAAATTATTACCGATTCTAACTTTAATGAGTGTCTCCGTCAAGCACATCCTGACTAGATTTACTAGTTTTTTTGGAATCCCCTGCTCGATTAGAATATTATACAGTTTCTGGCGGTCAATAGAATCGTAAGCCTTTTTAAAATCTATATACAGCTGGTGAACAATACCGTTATACTCCAATTTTTTCTCTAATATTTGCCGTAAAGAAAATATTTGATCAATAGTCGAACGATTCCGTCTAAATCCGCATTGGTAGTCTCCGATAATTTCCTCGGCGTATTCCGTGATTCGACTGGTTAAGATTAAAGTGAATATTTTATAACATACCGGAAGGAGTGAAATTCCTCGATAGTTATTACAATCCGTCCTCGGACCCTTTTTGTGAATCGGAATAAGAATAGATTCTTTCCATTCTTCAGGTAATTTCTCGTTCACCCAGATCTTTTTAACCAACCGATGTATTTTAGAAACTCCAGCTTCTCCGCATGCCTTAATTAGTTCAGTAGGAATATTATCGATTCCCGCTGCTTTATATGATTTTAATTTTCCGATAGCTACTTCAACTTCCTCTTTACTTGGTCCTTCTATTAATGGTTCAGCACTCTGGTACTCAGAAGGAGGACACAGATCACAATTTCCCGCATTTAAAATATTGTCAAAGTGGTCCTTAAACTTATTCAATATGTCAACCGGATCGGTCAGAATATTGTTATTATCATCCCTAATTCCAGACGTTACGGGCCCTACATATTTACGTGATCTGTTTATACCTTTGTACATGTCTCTTACGTTATTTTCGATTCTATTAGTTTCTATTTCAATTATTTTATTTTTAAGATACTCCCTTTTTTTATTTTTGAGCAATTTTGTCGTTTCGTTCTTTGAGATTCGGAAGTATTCCAGATTGTCTTCGCTAGGATTATTTAGAGCTTTTAATTTAGCGGCTTTTCTTTTTTCACACATGTTTAAGCAATCTTCATCAAACCACGGTTTGTTATTCTTGTTTTCCTTTTTTCCTAGACACGAGTTACCGACCGCTTTAATATTATCTCTGATCTCTATCCATAACTTGTCAATATCCTCGTGGTCCTCGTCAGGAAGCTCTAAAGCTTCAAACCTATTCTTAACATCTAGCTCGAATTGGTTTCTAATTGATGGATTTTTTAATTTTTCCAAATTAAAATTCTCAAAATCGAAACGGTTTTCTTTTCTCTTTTTTATATTAAGTTTTTGTCGAAGTTTCGCGATTACTAATTCATGATCCGACCCACATTCTGCTCCGCGATAAGACCGTACATTAATTATACTGCTTTGCCAGCTGTGTTGTATCAAGACATGATCGATTTGATTTCGTGTTTGCGAATCCGGTGATGTCCAAGTATATTTATGAATATCCTTATGTTTAAACGTCGTACTTTTAATTATCAGGTTTTTCGAGATGGCAAAGTTTATCAGACGGATCCCATTATCATTACTATATTCGTGCAAACTTTCTTTACCAATCGTCGGAATATAAACTTCTTCCCTTCCTACCTTTGCGTTCGCGTCACCTACAATTATTTTCATGTAGTTTCGTGGTAGTTTATCATAAACCCATTCGAGTTTATCGTAAAATTCACTTTTGACTTCATCGTCACTGTCTTCGGTCGGACAATGTATGTTTATTAATGCGATTTTAAACCAACGTCCCTGAAATGTAGCTACCGAAATTCTATCACTAAAGAATTGTACGTCCCTCAAAGCGGATAGTAATCTACGCCTAATTAGAAACCCGGTACCTAAACAATGATTCTCGCTTCCTCCGTACCAAATAGTGTACTTCCCTTCCCTCATCGAGCCCTCCCCTGGCCAGCGAACCTCTTGCAGAGCCACGACATCCAAATGGTACCCATTTACCTCTTTCGCGACCGATTTTAGCCCCCCTGCTGTGTTTAAACTCCTTACGTTCCACGTACCAATATTTAAATCCCTATATTTCAACTTGCGCCATGAATCCCCTAAAGCAGTCCCCACCCGGAGACCCGAACGGGGGACTAGTTTACCTCCGGATAATGAGCGTTTTACCTTAGGGAGATCCATGACTTTTTGTGGTGTTTGGTGAACTAAAGATATGTGAGTAGGGCGTTCAATCCTACGTCACACCCTCCAGCAAGTATGGTGGGCCCCTACCTCCAGCAAGTCTGGAGGTCCCCTCCCTCCAGCAAGTCTGGAGGGCCCCTCTCATTGTTGGTCAGCGAGTCCATCGGACTTAGCCGGGAGGAACTTCCAAGAAATTTCCACCGACCATCCCCACATCCGCCACCCGTGGGACGCTCCCCATACGCGGTAATGAGCCCGCGCGAGGATAAAAATAAGATTGATGTATTTATTTGTAATCAGTTGTTTGGTTCTGTAAACTGTTAATGTTTACTGATTGATTTTTATATGATTGTAGTTTTGTTTTTACCTGATCACTGTGGCTTTTTTTGATTTTTTTGCTCCTTTACTATCTAACACCTACTAATGTTTATTGGATTATCATGAAGTCTTCGTGG